ACTTAGAGCTTTCTCATGACATCACCTTATGGCTTGGCTACTCTGCTATGTGAGTATTTGCTAAAACAAACGCCGTAGTCCAGGTAGCTTAAGTAATTTATTTCCCATAGTTATGGAAGCTGGGAGACACAAATAAGGGTGCCATTAAACTCCATGTTTGTTGTGGGTCCTTTCCTGGGTTGCAGATGTACCTCGTTGCCGCATTTTACATGGATGAGAGACCATCTCCCTCATCTTTTCTAATAAAGGAATCAGTCTCATCTACAAGGTTTCCACTGTCATGACCTCCTAATAATTCGGGAAAGTGTATCAGTTTGGAGAGATATGGACATTCAATACACAGCATGGTCTACACTGAGGTTCAGGTTTTCAAATCTATCGTATGTATTTGAGGTCAGATCCATGCTTTTCACAGAATTCTGGGAAGGAAATGGCAAAAAGATGAAGTTTAAATATGCTGATTTTTCTCAGATTTTACAGCTGGAGTTGAAAAGATGTAATTTAACCTGGCTAAAACCAGGATGAGTCACAAGAACCTTGTAACTGTGTTTGGGTGAGAGGCAGTGAGCAGCTGGGGGACACTGGTGGGAGGACACTTTCCAGTGTACACATTTCATACGGTGAGAGTTTTGAGTCACTCAAATATATTACAATTTTCAAAGTAGGAAAATACAAGTAGATGTTTTCCTATCAAAGGACTCCTTTACAAGTCCCTTTGGCTTGTTCACTAGGAGAAATATTTACAAGGTAGCAATTTTCATATGACTTCAAAAATCCATATTTAAATGTGACAGTAATAAAAACTAGCACCTACTGTTACTTATAGATACAGATTGCATTCTGAGTGTTTAAGGACCCGAATGCCATGTTGCCCTTGTCCTCAAAATATCCCAAGGAAACACTGCAATGAAATATAAGTATAATGAATTTATATTCCCTACAGTAAGTAGCACATGAAATAAATATATAATGAAACACTAAAATTCACAGATAATGAAACTGAAGCTTAGAGGTCAATAGCCCATTGTAATTAAATGTTCACATTGGCTTATGCAGTTAAATGGGGGTTAGCACCCAGACACTTGAGCTTTAAGAGTAGACAAAATATACAATCTACTGTGCTACGATGGGGAAAGAGGAGAACAGTTATGAGGAAGTGGAAATGTGTGAGTTTGAGACTGTTTGGAGTGAATTGACAATGGACAGATTATCAACTGAAGTGTTTTACCAGTCGTGGTGATAGACATTACCAGAAGCAACCATAGGACCAACCTCAAATGTTGTATTGGTGTTTCCTTTAGAGGGAAACACTTCTCCTTGGATGGAAGCAGGGGAAACTCATAAGAAAGTTACAAGAACTCACCACAAGGCTAGGAAACTTCCACAACCTTCCTGAGGTTACATAAGCAGTAAACAGTTGCTGAAGGAAAGACTCTCATGTGAGACAGATGAGGGGACCGGCCTCTCCATGAGGTGGTAGGCAGGTGTTAGATGTTGTTAAAGTACTATTCAAACACGTTAAGGACACTATTAGTGTTCATTACTTATTGTGGGCTCTCTTTCCAGTATTCATTTTCTATTAGCAAAGACTTTGGGGATGGGTTAATTTGACCACTTGGCAAGTGTCCTCTCTCCCCTGTTGCCCTGTCAGCCTTGAGCAAAAGGACTGCTGGTTAAGCAGTCAGCCAGTCTCCAACACCAGTCACCTGGAACACTCCATGGATGCCCCGAGGAAAGGCGCTTCACACAGGTTGCCCTGTACTTCCTGCTATACAGTCTTTGATGAACTCCAGCTGATCCTGCAACTATTTCCACCTAGGGGAGCATTTTGATCCTGGCAGCCTAGTGGTATAGTGGTTGTTGCTGCTACCAAACAGACGACTGGGTAGTTGGTGCAACCACAAACCTTCATTAGCATGAGTGATTTTCTGTGGTTGTTGCAAACACCTCTTCTTGGACTATTTCAGCAGATTTTTCTGGTTCATTTTGTAAGCCGTCCAAGAGACAGTGCCCTGTGCTACTGTCCCCTGGTGTTACAATAACACCTCTCTGAAGAGGTCTTTACCTCCTGTCCTAATTTGCTTCCTATTGCTATGATAAACACCATGCCCAAAAGCAATCTGGGAAAGAAAGGGTTTTATTTCATCTTACAGTCCATCGTGGAAGGGGAAGTCAGAGCAGGAACTCAGCCCAGGACCTGGAGGCAGGAAGTGAAGTGGAGACCATGGAAGAACACTGCTTACTGACTTGCTCCTCATAGCTCACTCAGTTTGCTCTTTTACACAACCCAGGACCACCTGCCCAGGTATGGTACTGACCACAACGGGCTGTCCCTCCCCACATCAGTCATTAATAAAGAAAATGCCCCAGGCAATCAGATGGAAGCATTTTCTTTATTGAGGTGACCTCTTTCCAGATGACTCTAGGCTGTGTCAAATTGAAAAGAAAAAAATGAATAAATAAATAAAACCAATGAACACATCTGCTTATTTTGGATAGGGGCAGACTGGGGCTGGCAACATGAAGAAAGCACCAGAGAGAACAGAAATAACAGCAATGGCAGAATAGCACCAGGTTGGCAGTGATGGGAGAAGAGGCGGAGCTGAGTGGCCAGAGGGCTGAGCTGCAGGGGGCTGAGCTGCAGGGGGCTGAGCTGCAGAGGGCTGAGCTGCAGAGGGCTGAGCTGCAGACGACTGAGCTGCAGAGGCAGCAGAGGGGCCAGCTGCATGTGACACTTACAGAAGAGGCTCCAGGCCTGGGACAGGTGGACTTGGCAGCAGCTTGTGACAGCCGCCCTCCTGTCAAATACCTGGAGATACACAAACTACCAAAGGGCAGTACTTGAAGAGCTGCTCCTTGCCTACTCACAATTCCTATCGGAGTACAGCAGAGGGTTCCAGTCTGCCGACTGGTAACAAGTGCAAGATCAGACTCTGTTTTGATTTAAAGAATTTGGTATTTTATTCACTATGGATTTTTGTAGTTTAAAATATACCGCATTTTAATATTTATCTTGATAAAAGTTTTTTTTTGGTTGTAAAGTTGCATTAAGTTTCATATTCCATTGTGTCTCAATCATCTACCATAAATGCTTGGATATGAGTTTTTTTTATTTTTATTTATTTATTTATTTTTTTTGGTTTTTCGAGACAGGGTTTCTCTGTGTAGCTTTGCGCCTTTCCTGGAACTCACTTGGTAGCCCAGGCTGGCCTCGAACTCACAGAGATCCGCCTGACTCTGCCTCCCGAGTGCTGGGATTAAAGGCGGAGTTTTTTTTTAAAAAAATCACATGGAAAAGAAAAATGTTAACTTTCCTATGAAGTTTACTCAATTATTCATTAAACAAATATTTCTGGAGCATTTTTATGTTAAGCACTGCCCTAGGTTCAGGATGTTTTCAATATGTATTTTTAATGTGTGCTACAGCATTTTAAATAAATCTGTGTAATTATTAAAGAACCCAACAGCTTAAAGCTTATGAGAGGAGAGTTTAATGAGATGCTCCAAGACTCGGGTATAAGCCTTTCACTAAATGTGTTCACATTCCTTAACAATGTCAAGTCCCTTTCCAGCATTATCAGGTAACTTCCATTCTGAACTTTAATGCTAGGGAGGGACTAGTGAGTCAGGACAGATAACTATGGCTGCCCAGAAAGAAAAGAGAGAAAGAAAAAAAAAAGGGTGGGGTAAAATTAGAAATGATGCCCCTTCAAATCACTTAATTCCTCAAAATCAGTTTCTCTGTATATAAAAGACAAAGAATTAGAATGTTAGGGCCTCATTTATGTCTGATAATTTTGAAGTAACAGATTTAATTCAGCTGATAAACTCTAAATTACAGTGGGTTTTACTTCAATTCCCATTAATGATCCCCAAATTTCCTTTTCCTATATTGTGAGAGCAAAAGAAAAATATACATAAATATATACCTGCATATACATTATTGTTATTTTTAAAGTGCTCACTAAGAGCGACAATATTTAGGCCACTCGACCCTTCACTGAGCAAATACACCTGGTTAGTTTAGTTGTTTCTTTCACTTTCCTCTCTAAACTGTATCAGCAGTGTTTGAACAAAATGGAGTTGGGTGAGGTGATAGCACGCTTTGCAAACCCTTAAATTTTTATTTTTCAAATTAAAAGGTTTCAAACTTCAAGGAAGAGGGTAACCAGCATAACTGGACTTAAGATGCTTCTGAGGCTGACCTTGGATTTGAAGGACAGGGAAAGGGGGCTGATCTAGTTTAAGTGCTGGGGAGGCATGTGCAGTAACAGAGACTCACAACTGTAGATGAAAAGAAGAGCTAGAGCCAACCTTGGCCAGGAGGATTCAGACACCTGCCGGGCCTTGCGTCAGTAAGTGATTTCAGATTCTGCAGCCCCGGGAGGTCAAGTTCGTACTGTCGGCAGGAAGGCTAGTTGAAATGACAAAGAGGATCTATTTCTGTTTTAGTGGATTTAGCAAAGGAAGAGACTTATCCAGGCCACTGGACTCACTCTCAGACAACCCCGCAAATAAAAACACCATAACATTGTCATTTACATTTCTGCAAAAAGTTGCTCGCAAACGCCCTCACGGAGAGGGAAGGATCTCGAGTCGCGAAGCACCGTCCCCAAATAAAGCCCAAACTGAGAGCTCCTCAGTTCCATGCGCAGGGACGTCAAGCCTGCCCTGCTCACCGGCTCTGGGTCTCCGGGGGCGCGCAGACGGGCGGGGGCGAGGGGCGTGGAGGCCGTTCCCTCGGAGCACCCAATCAGCAGCGAGCCCCGGCGGTGGCGCCAGTGACGTAGGAGGCGCTCCCTCCGCCCCACTGCGGGCGGACGCCGAGTTCTAAGCGGCTGCGGGCGGCGCACGCGGAGCCGGGGCAGTGCGCCTGCGCAGCCGCTCACCCGGGGGAGGCGGGGCCGAGGGGCGGGCACGCGCATGCGCGCTCCCGGGGCGGTCGCGGGCGGAGGGGGCGGCTCCTCGAGTGTCGGCGACCCGAAGGCCGAGCGAGCGAGCGAGCGAGCGGCAGGCGGGCGGCAGGTGCCGCGGCCCGGCGCCGCAGCCTCGTCGCGCGTCCCCGCGATGAGCCTCGTCCCGCGGCCTGTCCCTGCCGGCTGCCGGTCGGCGCGGGCCTCACGGCGTGACCCGAGCCTCGTGGTGTGGCGGGCCCCCGCGGCGCGACGCGGGCCCTGAGCGGGAGCGGCGGTGCCTCCCGCGGCCCAGGCCTCGCCCTCCCGCGCTCCTCGATGTCTCCCCGGCGGGGAGGACGCTGCCTGCGACACCCGCCGAGCGGCGCCCCCCGGAGCGCCCCGCTGTCGCCCCGCGGCGACGATGAGGGCGGAGGGCGCCGACCACTCGATGATCAACCTGTCGGTGCAGCAGGTCCTGAGCCTCTGGGCCCATGGCACGGTGCTGAGGAACCTCACGGGTAATGCGCCGGGCGGAGGGAGCGGTGGGGGACCCACTTCACGCGTGTTCTGGGCGTCCTCAGCCCCGGCCTGGTGCCGGCCGCTGGAGCACGCGCGAGTTGCGCCGGTGCCCAGACTGGATCACAGTTCACGTTTGTGTCATTAGCCCCCCCCCCCCCCCCCCCCACACACACACTGCCCCGCGTACACACACACTCACTCAGCTTCTTGAGGTTTCCATCATTTTTATTCTTTCCTTCCTGGTATAGCTCTTTTTCTTGCTGACAAATCTCAAACCAAATGCAGCACTTCCATTCATTCCCTGCTCACGGTGATCTGTTTGCTTGGACCGTTCTTTTTTGGAGAGAGATGACTAAGTAGATTATAGTGGGTCAGGGGCTGGGCCAAGGGCTAGCTAGAGCAGTCAAAGCAGTTGTCTGTCTTCTCTGCTGTTTCCTTTTGTCTGTCTGTGTGTCTTCTTCTGGCCTCAAGTTGCTGCATCTGTGACATTTGCGAATTCTGTGTATTTCCCTTCAGTAATCAAGGTGATTGGAAATTGAATTTAGATACATTATAGCATCAGTTTGTGGTTGTTAGAGTGAGGCATTAGTACACAGCATATTTTCATCTAATCTGTAGGCTTGCTTTGGGAAGAAACTTTTGGTTTTCTTAATGTGGAAATGTTTATAGTCTGAGTTTTTAAAAGAGCTTCTAAAGAGGAATAGTGACAGGAAAGCGATAGGATTAACAATTTGAGTCCGGGGTATCTGCTTTTCTGAAACAATAGCAACCTCCCCACTCAAGGGCCCCCCCACCCAAAAAAAACCTCAGGTCTTTAAAATGTCTTAACTCCAATTGAACATTAATATTTCAAAATTTGTGTGATATCAAGTTAATAGCATATAGTATACATATGCATATATTTATAGGTAAAAATCTGACCTGATACAGGGCGCACATGCTCAAAGAGAAAAATGTGATGGAATTATGTACCTCCAGGACAATTTTCAGCTTACTTAATTCCTTATATAAGGAAACAACACAATTAAAGGAAACCCTGGAGCCAGCAGACTCTTCTTGGTTGCATGTTTATGGTTCTGAAAAGTTAAATCCACATAAAGGTAATTTCAAGATAAGACTCTTCTATCTTACTTATGACTTTGTGTGTGTTTATCCACAGTTTCATATTTCAAAGTATGAATTGTTTATTAATGAATAATGATAAAGACTTAGAATATAGATTGCCTATATTAATAACTAGCTTGGCTCATCAAGGTATTTTATAGAAAGTTGGTGTGGGAACTCTAAAGTGTAAATGTAGTGGACCTGTTCGCAAGATTTAGCAATGTTTTAAAACATTTAAGATTCTTATCTTTGCAATGGCTTTTCAGCTCCACAAGTTACCCATTTGGTTAGGAATAGCAGATAGCAATCCTGGAGAGCTTTGCTTATCTCTGGTGTGAGCCTAATAATTGCTTATATAAAGTGACAGCCTGTGGTTCTGTGTGTCCTGCACATACAGAGGACCATAGCTGTCCCACATGTAGCTTGAGGCTTAGTCAAGAGATGCTGTCTGCTGTGCCATGTGCAGCCTAGTCTGTTCAAAACAAGCAAGCAAGCACAGCTCCCAAGACAGTCAGCCCACCGCTGATTGTCTCCTATGGATTACTCTCTCTGTATATAATTTCTAATCTTAATATCTCTGCAGAGTAGACATACAAAGCAGTTCAGGCAAATGAAACTGCCCTAAGTTCTAGTGAGCAAATGGGACTTCAGAGCAAACCTGTCAACAGAATGCCTTCCCCTTTCCCTCTCCATAGCTCTTTATTCAGCTTCATCCTCTGCTTTGTCAAGCATTGTGACTTTCTTGCTTCATCCTGCCACTTCTGCTGTTTGTACCTACTTCTGTTTTTGAATGCCTTGCAATTTTTGTCTCTGCTAGCTTGAGTGAAAGTAAGGCTGCTGTCTTGCTCCTTTCTGAGTTCTTATGCCATAGTGTACTGGACTCTGGCACATTGTAACTGCTGACTCCATGTGTATTGAAGTGAGTCTGTGAAATAGGACCTACTGTGTTGTTTCATCTAGGTCTCTTAGAGTGAATGTGCCATTCAAGTGCAGTGGGGTGCTTAGGCGGCCTTTGTAGACAGTCATCTCACACACCTGGAGGACGGGCAAATGCATATTGAATGCAGTTGTATTTAGTGCTAGGTACTGGCTTGTGTGTTCTTTATTTGATATTGTCAGTAGTTTTTGAGAGATTGTGTATGTTCACTTTACAGATGTAGCCATTGAAGCAGGAAGCAAGCTTCAGCTTGGTAGTTTACATGATTGTCCCATGTACTGTTCATTCAGAAGGTATATTTGGCATCATAGCAAACTTGTAAGTGAAACAGATAATGAAAAGAAGCAGAGTATAAAACCAGGCTATCTTGGATTATGGCTGAAGGGATTATAGAAATCTGGGTATTGGGAATTTGAGTTAATTAAATACCAAATAAAAGAGAAGTAAGCTATCGTTTCTCTTCTTTGTACAAACAAGCAGTGTGATTTTACTTTTAGGATTTTGTCTAAGAAGCAGGAGTCTGCTTTGATAGGAATAAACTTAGCCGAGAAGAACTAGAAGCACCCTAACCCAAGAGTTTTACAGTTTCTGCACTACCAGTCTGTCACTCTTACCAGCCTGTGGTGAGAGGTGTTTAATGGCAGAGGCAGGCCCGGAGCCTCTCCTGACTCTTAGTTTCATGCCTGTCCTTTCTGCCCCACATAGCTACTTAACCCAGGCAGGTCTGAAAAATAGTAAATCTTAGGATACTTAAGATTAGCCTGGCACATGTTTGTCGCAGGCTGAGAATATGTAAGGTTATCTCCAGTGGCTGGGTCCCATATATTCCAAGACGCATCCCCTACACCCACCCCCGCCTTCTCCCCTAGCTACTTGAAACCACAGATAGTATCTAGTCCTTAACATGCATACTTATGATACAGTTTACTTTCTGTTAGGTGCAGCAAGATGCTTAACAATAAGAACATAAAGCCGGAACATTTTAACTACACACTGTCACTACTGTATCACTACTGTTGCATTCTGATGCTCTTAAGTAAAGCAATGGGCTATTTGAACACAAGCATTGCGATACTGAGGCATCCTATCCATAGCCACCAGTCAGTCTGATAAGGGATGTGGTTCCTAGGTCTGTATACCCTTGACAGAGATGAGTCTTAGATAGAACAGAACAGCATGAGGTGTTGTCATGCTATTCAGAGTGGCCAGCAATTTTAAAAGTATGAGTTGTTTGTTCCTAGAATCTTCAATTTAATATTTTTGGATGGTTGGCGATGCAGGTAGCCAAAACCATAGAAACTGAGATCTTCAATGATGGTTTACTGATTTGTCCAGTAAATAACAGATGCTGGAAAGTGTTAGGTACTATTGAAAAAACAGTGCTTTCTAACATTCCAGTGGCTGTTGTTTTGTAAATTACTGACCCATATTTGTTATATTCCCAGTGGTAGGAATTCTCTAAGGTTTGGTCAGCTGTTTAATGTTTCCCTCTTTTGGAGACGTTCATATGAGGATTCTAAGCACAAGCCATTTCCAAATCCTGTGTCTGTTACTAGACGACCACCGTCCACAGTTGCTGTGTGTCTACCCCTTTCTCTGTAGTGTTTAGGATTCCTCCTTTGCTTAACCCTGAATAGCTTTTAGGCTTTTTTTTTTTTTTTAGCTTATTAGAGAGATGAATGGCTTCCTTCCTTTCTTCATTCACAAGTACCCTTTTCTATGAATGTGCTCTAAATTCCTACCCCTCAATCTGAAGTTGAACTCCATACTGGGTCTACCTTTTCAGCTTTGTAACTTGATTGGTTTTTTTCCCTAATAACTAACTGTATCTTTTTGCTTTATTTTGTTTTTCTTAACTGATTTGACTCCCAATTTGTATTCTGATCCAAATTTGGTTACTAAGGAGTTAGAGAAGAATTTTACTTCAGAAAAGGCAGGTCCTTAAACTGCTGGCCAAGCATAGTGGGATTGGGAAAGGGATACTGGGCCCTGGGAGAAAAGTAGATGCTGTCTTAGGCTTGTCAACTTCCTCTTTGACAACAGAAGATGTAGGGGGCAGGTGCACCCCTTCTTCTCTTTCCTGGTAGTAAGTGTTGAGTCTGGGGTCCAATATATAGTGAAAGATAAAAGCTTTATAGGTATCTATATAAATACTGTTCATTTTGTGTATACATGTGCATGTATGTACAGTGGGTCCTCAAATTATGATATGGTTAGGTCTGATAAACCCATTGTAAATTAAAAAAAAACTATTAGTAGAAAATGTATTTAATATATCTTTCTTACCCAAACCAACACTTAGCCTAACCTATCTTAAATGAGCTACCAGAAGTCATCTTAACACAACATCGTATTTATCAAACACACAGTGGGAACAGAGTGCTTGTGTGGGCATAGGCTTACAGCATTTTAAAGTTGACAGTTTGTAAGTTGAACCACTGGTAATTTGGGGTCTCTCTCTGGCTGTGTATTAACTTTTAGAATATTCATGCACATACTGTTACAGTTTCCATTTAGAGTTTCATAGTTGATAAACTGTTTTGCTGTCAGCCGAAAGGGGAGAAATAGTTCATACACGGTGGTGCAGTCAGCACCTTTATTGTTGTTTTCAGGTAGCTGTGCCTCCCTTGGTGTGGCTGTGTTTACCATTAGGTTACATTCCCTTACTGAGGTAGGCACATGTAGAGTGGTCAGAAATCCTCTGCTGTTGCTTGGTCCGTAACTGCAGCTTTAATCATACACTCTGCGTTTGGTATTTGTACCAGACCCCACAGTTGACTGTTTTTTGAAACACATGATTGGTATTTCTTACTCTGGTGGTGTAGCCCAGAGCAGTAAGTGCAGGCAGGGCTGCGCTTTATAGCATTCACCGTTCTAGAAGGACTCCCTGGATGTTTGACAGAGGGCACTGACTGTAAGCTTTGCAAAGTCAGGCTCATTGTTCACTGGGCTCACACT